ACACGAGGTCGTTTGCATAAGCCCGCTGGATAGCTTTTTCAAAGCAGAAGGGCGGGCTAAAAACAGCATGCATCTCAATGCATGCGTTAAATACAGCATGCATACCATGCATACTTTATATAACGCATGCAATGCATGCTGTTGGGTTTTCAGAGTTTACCGGAATGCTTTATTGCTCTACAGTTGTAATTGTGCAACGGCAAGTTACATACTTGCAAGTGTGCAACTCCGTACTTCTAGACTTGTAACTGTTCAACTCGGTAGGTGTGCACTTGTGAGTGTGCAACGACAAGTAGAATACTTGCAAGTGCACACATCCCGAACAGTTAGATTTCCACTTTCACAGATATTATGTAAGAGCTACGGTGCCATTTTATCACAAAATATATAGAGATGTGATATAAAAGGTCAATTCCAGAAAAAAATGGGAAAAAATGTCCGTCAGTGACGACATTTGTGAGCGACTGGGAGGTGCTACGTGTTGTTGAAGCACATGACTAGACGCGACTTTCCAAAACGCTTCTAGGGGCGTGCTGCTACAGTACGTAGCACCCCTTAGACGCTGACTAATGCCGTCACTGACGGACACCCCTATCTGGAATAGGGTATTGGTCTAGAGCGCTGAGCGGAAGTAGAAGAACAAAAACGGAAGGTGGAAAGGTGCCCGTGCCGCCCCCCTCCCCTCCACTGGGCGGAGTGGGGGAGCGCCCGGGGAGAAGAGGAAGCGGCAGGCGGGGAGGAGTGCGGGCGCCTTTCCACCTTCCGCTTTTGTTCTTCTACTTCCGCTCAGCGCTCTAGTCCAATACCATATTGCCCAAAATGTTGACAGTGCTGCTAAGCTTGATTTCTTTCTTTCTTTTGTTAAAAACTTCTATTTTGCAAAACTCACCGTATTGGCTACGTTGTCGAGGCCGGCTACAAAGAAAAGAAAAGCCTGTGCCGCCATAGTGTCGTTGTTGAGCTCGACGTGGCTCGCCCGGTCCAGTGTACTCCGGTTTCGATCCTCCTCGCGGAGCTGCATCATGATTTGGACAAAGTCATTGCGCTCCACTTTGTTCTTCTCGCGGTAATTGACTGTGTCGGACATAAGTTTTAGGAAGAACTCGGTCATATCTTTGAAGATTCGCTTAAAGGGCAACAGCTTGACGAACACGGGGTGAACAGAGATGAGGAAGAAGCGCAGGAGGAATATGAAGTTGCGGCGGAACAGCTCGCGTGACATGTTGAGGAAGTCATCGTTGCCGCCCTTGACCGTGTTGCAATCGATGCCGAACGCTACCGACCCGATCACGTCCGTACTGTAGCGGAGCAGAATATCCTTAAATTCCACCTGCAACAAAGAAGGGTTAAATCTGACCGTCCGGCTAAACTGGAAACGCACACAGAAAAATAAATTTCCGTTTCTTTCCGGAACAGTTCCTAGTTTTGTCTGCAGGGGAGGTTCAGCGAAGTCCGATCATCGGTTGAGTCTGAACGGCCAACATTGACGGCACTTTCAGCTCTTCATTCATCGAAAATGCTCGGCAACCATCCGTGGGAGGAGGGGGGCTCCTGCACGGTGGGTTGCCTACTTACTGCCTAGGCCCAGTAGGGGAACGCCCAATGACCGGGTTCTGGAACTTGAGCGAGCATCCCTGGACGCATGTCGGGTAGAACCTTTCATTTAGACCAATCGGATGATTCCATGAAGTGCAGAATCGTGTCTCCAAGGGTAAGTTTCTAGATGTAGAAGTACACGCAGCAGCCCGTAGAGCGTTAGTCATTGTGCTAAAATTCTCAGAGGGAGCGTTTTAAAGAATTAGTAGTATAGATAGAATGCCAGGGAAGCGGGATTGAAGAACGGGGGATGGGGGGTGAGACGAGGGGTGGATAACTCCCCTGCCAAGTGTACACCCCTAATTCTGCCCAATTCAAACTAATTCAGACCAATTCAATTTAATTCAAACAAATTCAAAACTAATTCAACTAATTCAGTCCAATTCATGACAATGTTCAGTCAATTCAAGTCAATTCAAGCCAATATACGGTAATTCAGTAACATAAAATCGCAATAATTCAAACTAATTCAAAACAAATTCAACCAATTTAGTCCAATTCAAATTCAAGCCAATTCAAGCTAATTCAAATTCAATTCTTGAAATTTGTAAACCCCATTCAGGAGTTATCCACCCTTCGGGGTGAGAGGGAGGGGGTGGGGGAATTAGAATATTTGAAAAATCGAAATGGAAAAGTAATTGGCATTTCCATTTGGTATTTTACATGCGCGCATGTCGGGCCGGCCACGCGGCCCGGGCGGGCGCGACCTATAGCAGCCCATAGCGGGCCATAGCGTCCAGCCGCAGACGGCTGCGGCCCGGCCCGACGTGCACGTAGATATGAGCTCCGTTCTCGAAAACCAGAAGTCGTATCAAAGTGCGGCAAAAAGGAATGTAAAGTTTAAAGTCAGGCGGAAAATCGGCTAGCTCTATGTTGGTCGATGGCTCGTCTCCTTGCATGAGAAAATACGGGTTGAAAAAGCTCTTGTGATTTCGGAAAACAGCTCATTTTGTCAAACGGCCCTGATCGAGTACAAGGCCTTCAATCACATAAGGAACCATACCGTTGTAATCGTCACACTTTCACATTTATTTTGATGTAATGGTCGATGTACTTTGTTTGAGTTAAGTACCCAAGAATGCAATTTTAGTTTATGCTCACACACGCTCCGCCCGCCACGCCGGCGGCGCGCTAGGGGACCAGTGCCACTAGCGATCCTGGCGGCCGAAAGTTTCAATCGCCATCCTCATAGTGTGATGAAGCCACAGGGTAACTTTGCTGTTCTTCTCAGAACCCAATACAAAAACATTGATTCCATCATTTGCTGGCAGCCTAGACTGGCACAGCCTAGGGGCAGCCATAAACCTAAACCCACCCAATCCATCGAATGTGTTTTGATACAGAAAACTGGGTTCAGACTCATGTTTTATTGCAAAATCGACGCAGACGAGAAACGGGAGACGGACAACTCGCCCCATCTAAGTCGCCCCATGGTACAAGTCGCCCTAAAGCTAACTCGCCCCGATTTTGGGGCTGGGGCGAGTCGCAGACTTGTGCCATCTCGCCCCAGTCAAATATTTTGGTCCATTTTTTTTAACATTTGCATATTGCTGGGCATATTGCTGGGCATTGTTGAGCGCCCCTATATAAGCCCGGCGCCCAGGGGAGGAGGCCAGTGCGCGGGTGACAATGGCTGGGAGAGGGCCTGGCACTAGTAAAGTGAGGAACACGACCACCCAGCGTGGGGCGCGGAAAGCTATTTATGAAGGATTTATGTATGTATTCCATCGAGAGAAGAAAGATGGGACGGGGTGGCGCTGCGACCAACGGGGCAAGTGTCTTGGCCGCATGACTGTCCTTCCGAACGACACAGTCCTGGATGAGAAGCCACACTCACACCCGCCGGACTGGGGCAGCTGCACCGCTCAAGAGACCGTGCAAGCCATCAAGAGAGCCGCAGAGACGTCCAGAGCAACAACCGTCGCCGTCGTGCAGAGCAAGATAGCGCGTGTTTCAGACAAGACCGCCATGAAGTTGCCAAAATTCCGAAACTTGAAGAAAATGGTGCGAAGAGTGAAGCGACGAGACTTGCCACCCGAGCCCAAGGAGCTGATGGACCTCGAGGAGATACCTCGGCAATTCAGAACGACACTGAAAGGTGACAGATGGCTGTTGCATTTTGATCCGGAGGAAGACCAGAGGGTGATCATCTTCACCACGGACAAGCACCTCAGGCTACTGGCGCGCGCTACATACTGGGTGATGGACGGGACATTCAAGGTGGCACCGCACATCATCTGCCAGGTGTACGCCATCCATGCGGCAATCAACGGCAAGTGGGTTCCACTTGTCGTGGTGCTTATGGAGAGGAAGACAAGAAGAGCCTACGACGACGTGTTCGAGATCCTCAAGACGGAGACCCGAAGGCGTGTGAGGCGGGAGCTGGCTCCGGAGAAGGTGTCAACCGACTACGAGCAGTCCGCCATTCAGGCTGTTCGAGCTGCATTCCCAGGTGAACAACCTATACGAAAAACGATTTAGTCGGATTGTCTGAAAGTGTATTTTACATTCGGCTTCATGCTGCAGACGCAGAAGTTGCTGGATGCCTGTTCCACTTCGGGCAGGCCCAATGGCGCCGGCTCCAGGAGGCAGGGCTTGCGGTCGCCTACCGCGAGGAACAGAACGAGGCCATGAGAACGGACTTCATCGCCCTGGCCTTCGTTCCCTTGGACGACGTGGAGGACGCCTTTGACGCCCTGTCAGAAGCTGCGGTGCTGATCCTGCGGCCCATCTTCCAGCACGTGGAGGAGACGTACCTGCGAGGGCGACTCCGAGCACGGCGAGGCGCTCGTGTCCGTAGGCGAGGGCCTCCTCTCTTCCCTCCGCACCTGTGGAACTGCTACGAGCGCACCGTGGAGGGGCTGCCGAGGACGACCAACCCTTGCGAGGCGTGGCACAGGCGATTGTTGTCCCTCATCGGCAAGCACCATCCGTCGTTCTTCGTTTTCCTCGGGCAGCTCCGGGAGGAAGTGGGGGAGATCGACATCTTGATCACCCGTGCTGAGGGCGGCTTCTCTCCTTCAAAGCGCAAGACATCTTTGGAGCAGAAAGAAATTCGCATCCAAAGAATTGTGGACCGCTACGAGGAGTACAAGGAGGACGAGGACGTCCTCACATACTTGCGAGCCATCGGCCACAACCTGTCCGGATTCTTCTAAAACTATTCAATAAAAATTCCCATTCCTTGTTTAAAAAAAAACTTATTTTTATTGGGGCGAGTTAGCGCTGGGGCGAGAGGGGTACGGGGCGAGATGGTCATGGGGCGAACTCATACCGGGGCAAGTTAGACTGGGGCGAGTTGTCCTAGATCCCGAGGAACTGCGTCGACAAGACTTCACTGACATAAGCAAGAACAATTAAACGATAAAACTAGCTATATGTACGCCAGACCACGTCTCGCGTAACAGGCTTCGCGATATCTCACGAAACACTGTTACGCTGCGACGCGCCTGGCGCAC